AAATCTTCTTTTTTACCACCTGCAGTATCAGATGAGTCAATCCAACTGTTCTTTAATTTAAGTGAGCACTGGATTGGAATATCTCAAGAAAAGTATTTAGATCTCAGCTTTTTTCCATTAAAGCTTTATCACCACTTGAGGAACTTAGGTAAAAGATGGAAGTTTGCAATCCATATTACTCATCACTTGATCTTTTGGTGTCATGGAAGTTTTCATTAAGGGACTTGAGCTTTTTTGGGGGCAAACATTTTCAGAGTCTTCTTTCTAATCACCAATAATATCATCGGAACATATAAATGTGATCAATAAGAGCTTGTTTATATTCTAAAAACTAACATATTTCATGTCAGCCAATCATCTTTGGTAAGGATTTGTGTTATCAAAAATTCAGGGTCAAACTGAAGTAGGTAAAATTCCTCAGAAAACCATGAAAGTAATAGCTTTAAGAGGACTACAAGTAAATGAAAGAGGAAAAATAAGTTCTTCTATTATCAAAAACCTCTATATACCTCTTACTTCAAAGATTAAATAGGCCTTCTGATATTTTACAGTCAGTTCTTCTTTTTTTTGAGAACTTTCTTACTATTAGTATCAAAGGTGTTACTTGATTTTTCTTGATCACTTGAAGTCAAGTTTTTGAGTGAAAAGGTTTATAAACAAAAGGGAAAGGGTAAAAGTGACTCTTGAAGTCATACTTCAAGTTGCTTTAATGAAAGTATTAAGACTTTATTAGTAAAGAAGTATAAAAACTTCTTGCAAACATCTTTTTTGTATGTAGTCAGAGGATTAGTAGAAAGAGTTTTTTTGATTATTATTATACTATTGATTTATAAATTAGATTTAATTTATTATTTATATTTTTAATAAAAATATTTAATTATTGTCAATATAAAAGATTTTATAAAAATAAAAAAAAACTATTTTCCACTCCTTCTACTTCGTGAAAAATTCCTTTTTAGAAAGTTTTTTTTTTCTCTTTTCTCCTTCTTTACTCTATATGAGACTATCAACTATACAGTGAACAAAGTCTGAGTTGTGCTAACACTATATGAGGCTCTATTATCTGACTTGTTGATGTATAGAAAGTATTAACTCTAGGGAAGCACGAGCAAACCTGAACTCTGCACATGGCAAATGTTTGAGATAAAGGAAATTGTCCTTTGATAGCAAGACACTTTTGTAACAAGGCTTTGTGTATATCTGAGTCATTATAGACAAGAATACTTTTATTTCTCTTATTTTTTTTTCCAACTCCTTAACCTCCTCCTACCTGTTTATTTTTCTTTCGTTTACTCTCACCTTTTCATTTTATACTCTTCCTGTCGATAGATAGCTTTTCTCTTTTTCAAGATTTTCTTCTTAGGCTTCTCACTCCTTTTTCTACTGAACCATATCATTATCATATGGTATATCAAGGTTTTTTCCTGATCAAAATAGTGGACTTAATATATGAAAAGATCAAAACAAGACCTCTTACAATTGAAAGATAAATCTATGGCAAGGAAGGTCACATTTTTGAAATTCTAGGTGTACCTTTCTATAATCACTAATTACTTTACAAAGTCATATGAATGGAAAAGAGGTAGTAATGGTGAAAATTTCATTTGATAGCATTAAAAATATAAGGTTTTACTTGCTGAGGGTCTAAACTACCATTACATTAGTCAGAAGTAAACAGCTGGATAAGAGCTTTTGCTTTAAATACTTGATAATATCACTACTACTCAACTCAAAAGATATGACAAACAAACATTTTCTTGCTTTAATTTTCTCCCAAGATCCTACTAAAAAATTGTGGTTAGCTTACCCCTTCTAAAAGATTAGTATAGGATTATTACATCTTACTAGATCCATAGTCCCTAATAAGGAAAGACCCATAGTCTATATCTTGACTCAAACTGGTTTCTAGGACCAGTACAACAAAAAATCTGATTTTCCTAACTAAACTATCACATACATCACCATACTATTTTAGTGAGCACTCTTATTGGTCAATAGTAAACTAGTAACTAGATATTATTTACTTTTTTTCTCTTTTTTTATATAAGTTTTCAAAGTTTGTAAGAGTTTACCTATACTGATAGCTATAATTATTTATATAATGATTATTAGTATTGATTAATAACTTAATTGTTAAATAAAATTATGCACTTAATATTATTCACAAAAAAAAAAAAAAGATTTTATAAAAATTTAATTTTTTTAAAAAATTTATATATATTTTTTAAATAAGTAACATAAGTTTAAAGTTAAAATCTAAAATTATTAATTCTTTGATTTTAAAATTTTTAATAAGTTTAAATTTTTATTTAATTCTTAAATATATAATATATTTATTTCTTTATTTTTTTGTATTTTCTTATTTAAGAATTTTGAGATACAAAACTTCAAACAAATAATTTAACAATAGTCAAGTTTTAAACTTCAAAAAAAATTTCATATACAATTATAAAAAAAAAAAAGATATAATATATAGATAGTTAATATAAAATTAATAGTATTGAATTCTTTATAATATATTGTATAATAGTTTCAATAAATCTAGTATATACTAATTTTTAATTTATTACAAATAATTTGATAAAATAAATCATTACTAAAAGATAATAAATCAATATGATCATAAACTTTAGAATGGAATAGATTGATTTTACAAATTGGTTATAATATTAAAGACATATTATTCTTTAATAACTTCAATAAAAATCCATTGAATTAACTATTTAGAAAAAAAAATTATTTTATCATATTACAATTAATATATTTTTTAATTAAAATAAAAAAATTTAATTATTTTTAAAATTTTTGATTTTTATATAATGTACTGTATATTTATTAATAAAAATTGATAGATGGTGCAAGACTCTTGTGAGCTACCATATATGAAAACATCTGTACAAAATGCTTATAACATTTTTAGAGACATAAAAAAATTGTTTGATTAATGGTAATTGCTGAATATAGACTGCGTGTATCTCAACACATTATATATTTTACCAACTAATGATTGTGTTTATTGTTTCCATGGTTTTCTTTGTCGAACGCTTTTTATATCCGTCAGATTTTTGAATGTTCAATACAATATTGAGAGAAAGAAAATTCAATTTTGAAAGGGAAAATCGTTGAAAACATACTGTAGCTAAGGTGCGACTGCAAAATATCAATATCTTATTAATTTATATGCGTGCAATTCTATAGATCGTGATTATATTATAAGCTATAACTATACAGGAAATAACAGAATAACATCATATAAAAGTATTTACTTTTCAAAATCTCTCAAGATTTTAAACCAAAAGAGTTGCCCTCCAATCTCCCCTGCCTTCATCTCGCCTTTTCCACATGAAAAGATATTAATTTATCATAATTTAATTGAATGCATTCTAAACGAGAAAATACAGTATATTTGTCAGAAAGAAAGAAATTTCATGCTTCTAAAGATTTTAAGATTTCTATAATTTCTAAAAACGACTCTCCAATGGTCCGTCCATGGGATTGTGATGTGTGATTTGTTTGTCCTTGATCCGCTGTCAAGGGCAACGCATCCATTAGAAATTGTTCATTTATGGAAGTTTCTTCAACAACAAATTCGTTGACACGAGCAAACAGTTGGATGAGATTGATCAATGAGCTAACCGATCGATTAGGTAATCGCTGTAAAGGCCGTAACATGATTAGAATTAAGGAATCATCATAATTGCAAGTTTACTCATCAAATAATTCCAATAAAAATTAGAAAAGAAAAGGATATCAATTATCAATTTTTGGTTTTCCCGATTATTCTTAATTAATAAACCCAGCAACACAGCGATGTAGGCTGCCAGCATTTTGTTATCAGCCTGTGAGAACAATTAAATTTAAAATTTGAGTACATAACTTGTAACAACTATGATAATAATGCAGCAACAACGACAGCAGCTATAATGATAATATAAACCTCTTCATTGCCTTTCTCGAGTTGGTAGTTGTACAAGGAAACAAGACACGAAATTGGGGATTCCCTTGAAGAACAAGTGCACTTCCTGAGGCACTTGAATGAACCCGGGCAACAAGGATTTTGTTCTGGGTAAGGGTGGCTTCATGGTTAGCATCGATTTGCATACATAAATATATATGTGAAATAGAAACAGTGAACTTACCAACTTTACAAAATTCATCTTGATTATTGGGATCCATTTCGGCCAAATTTATGAGTAACACAATAACATGCGAAAGAACATCGAATTTAACTGCTTCAATAGCCTTTAATTTATTCAATTCATTTTCACTGCTCATATTCGGACTAATGTCATTCGTTGTCTGCACGGGAGGGAGCTGCCCGACAGTGGCCAGACGCATAAGAATCGTCATTCCCGAATGACACCCGATGTATTGACAACATTGTTGATTTTCATTAGTTAGATTGATTAGCACTCGTAAACTACCGAGCAGGCACTCCATTGCTGTATATACAGGATCAATGTTAAAAATAAGCGAATAATTTAGAATACAAGGAATTACATATGGCAAAGTACCTGATGATGCTTTGGATGAATGATTACTACAAGATTCAACTTGGCAATATAAAAGGAACTCCAGCAATAACTGCAAAAGTTCTTTACCCCTTTCAACGATGTCAAGTTGGTTCTCGGTACAGAAGAGCACAGCATATTCCAAGATTTTGAGACATTGCTCTACGCGTTGAAAATTCAAGACCGAGTTTGTGACTCTAACGGGCTACAATATTTTTGGATATTAGATTTTTTTTTTTTTTTTTTTTTTTTAAAAAAAAAAAAGGGAAAGAAAAAAATTGCAAAAACAAAATCTTACTATGAGAATGTTTATATATCTAAATGAACGATCTTTACCTTACCATTCTCGATTGATGACAGTATGCTGGGAACTGACTCGAACTCGGTTTTTAATACGTGTAACACAGAATGTAAGCTCCCTGATGTTCTCAGTTCATTTTTGATAAAGTTTTCATAACGTGTTCTCAAGGATGTTAACGATGATAAAGTTCTGAGTGCTATTGATTTGAGTGATATCTAAATTCAAATGAATTTGATGATGTTACCACTTGATGCTCACGATCGGAAGAATATAATAAAACTAATAATTATGATTACTTGTGATTTTGAACCGAATATTGCAGAACGGTGTATTATTTCTTTCATTTCATTGATCTGCATGTAAGAAAAAAGGTTATAATAGAGAAAAAGCAAGGCTTCAGTTAAAATAAAAAAGTTTAATCATGAATGCACACTTACCAACAACCGATCAGATCTTTTTAAGGAGTCACTATCATCATTAAAAGGATCCAATGAAGAATTTAGGCAATATGCAATTATCTCCATAAATCCAGATTCCTTGATTAACAACTCTGAGCTGTGCTTGTCCTCGATTAGCAAGCATATGATAAATGCAAAGCAACACCTCATGAACTTTATAGGTAATATAATAATCAGAAAAGTTGATTCGATCGGTGACTTAAAAATTTAGGATCAATACCAACCAAGTCCTGGTGAGTGGACAGATTTGAATAGATTTTATAAATGTAATTGTGTGCGCGAACTTTGAGCAAAAATTCTCCGTTCAATAATTTACGTGCCAAATCCATGCCACTATTAAAAATAAATCATCAGATCTTGGATACTCTTTTTTTTTAAAAAAAAAAAGAAAAACAATACAAATAAGAAATATTGTAACTCGCCTTGTTCTGCGCACGTTTAAGTTTTGTCTCTCCTGGAGACCATCAAGAATAAAGTCCATTTCTTCGGTAAACCTAGTAAGACTACCAACTTCACGAAGTTCATGTGAACTTTTTAATTCACTCTTTTTGGATACCTTTGATTAAACATTAAAACTAATTAAACTTTGCCGGAAGAAATTTTTCATTAAAACAAAAACATTTTCCTTACCACATCATCTTTATCTTCATCAAACTGGAGTCCGGAAGCAGAGTTATATGTGTCGAATAAAAATGAATCTAGATCCTGACCTAGAATGGTGCGCCCTTGCCCATAAGTTTTTTGAACGCCAGAATTACCGTTGGTCAAATTGTACGATGAAGAAGGAGAACTTGGGAAATCAAAAGAGCTGGAAGAGGTATTGGTAAATAGGTCCTCTTCATATGAAGAGAGATAACTATCTTCCTTGCGATCTTGACTGGAAGAAGAGCCGAAGTCCAGCTTCGACTTTGAGTCACCCCACGGTAGAGACCGAGATAAAGGTTGACTTCTATCGATTTTCGAAGGGGTTGAAGGTTTGGACATTTTTGCGACCAAGTTTTGCCTTCGGGGGCTGGATGACAAGTCTATTGGAGAGGCTACCGCGTCAACAGCATCCCAGACGGAATCACTATGTTTCTTCTGATGAAATGAAAGAAATGATATTGGCGTTCCAACTTCAGATATCGATCTGTCCGGAGTTCTCGGGATTGCATCTTTTGATGACTCCTTTTGAGATGTTTTGTGAGTGTATTTAACCTCTCCTGACTTTTTTGTCGAAGTTTTCACCGAATCCTGACGACTTTGCTTGTTTGATCGAGAAACCTTTTTTGGAGTTTTTGGACGAGGGATATTAGCATTTAGCATACTATTCGTGAGATTACTGACAATCCCAACAACCGGTTCATGACTTTCCCCTTTCCGTCCATTCACATATTTCGCAAGATCAAAGACATCATCAGAATCCATGGATTCTCGGTTATCACCAGAGCTATCATTTGCAATTTGCTTTGAGGTTTTTCTCGTTAGAAATCGCGAAAAACGCATTGAGGATGAATTAATTCGAGACGAACGGGTTTTAACAACCTCAACGCTGTTCATTTCGCTTTGATAAGTAAGATGTGACGATGAAGAATTATTAATCTTCATGATAGTCTTGGGTGAGCCCGATGGTGTCATGGGACGACTTGATTTTTTTCTTAATGTCTTTTCCTGTGCATTAATAGCATCGTTGGAATTGGAAATATATGATAATGATTCCATAGATCTAGAGCAGTCCTTTTTCTTAATTCTCGTTTTGTCATTGGATCCTCGAAATGAAACATCTGCGTCTTCAGAGAAATCCGACTTGTCCAAATTATCAGAAAACGTCTTGACATTTCTTCTAGAAGAAAAATTTTTCTTCTTGTCTTCCGACTTTGGATTGTCAGATTTATGAATGGTCAGAGGCTTTTGCCTCAATTCTTGATCAAACGTTTCGATTTGTTCCGGAAAATCTGTGATATTTGTTTTTTCGCTTTTTTTGCCGGCTGTTTTCTTAAAGTCAACACTATTCTTTTTCCCCTTGTGTAATAATGGCTTCGAATTTGCGCCGATAAAGTCATTGCCTTCATTTTCCGGGAAATCAAAAACTTCCATGTCAAAAGTCTCCATTTCCAATCTTCTCTTTTCATCATGACTGTTTTTAAATGATGCTTTCCGCTGAAACTCTCTTATAATTTCGTCTTCCTCCTCTGGAAAATCAAAGACGTCAGAATTATCAACAGTCTTCCCGCTAGACACACTTCCTTTATTTCCTTTATTCCTTCTTTTTGTCGGCGGAGGATTATCCTCATCATTCACATTAAGTCTCGAGCATGATTCTGTCACCTCATCAGAAGAATTTGGGCGCTTGCCCAGGGAGAATTCACCGGTCGTCAAATCTTTCATGGGCTGTTTTATATGCATTCGAGCGGAATGATTATCATCAAGATCTAGACCCGGTGAAGATCTTAATGCGGTATTATGCGAGTGAATGTGCACATCAAAAAATGATTGATTGACGGAAGAAGGTCTAGGCTGTCGAATTTTTCTCCCATAATTAGCAGAAATCGTTGGTTTGTAATGGAAAGACATCAAGTTTTTTATCATGGGGACAATTTTTAAACCCAAATACGTTAACAAAATAAATGCTTTTACTATTAAAGTGGATTCTGAAGTAACACAGATCAATCACATTGACTCAACGTCCACTCGTGTAACCGTTTCATCCATCGTCTTTTGTAGGGGCGTCGATTCACATTCATCTTTTCGCCCAATCCTTGTGACTGATCGGGGAATTGATGCATAGGAGATTCTTAAGTGATTGAATGCAGCTGATTATCTTCACTCCATATTATCCAAAAAAGGGGTCACTACCATATCATGAATTTTATAACGAGAAATAGGATACCTTCGATTGGTAACGGTTATTTAGAGTTTGTTGTTTGTTAACTGCCTTTGCTTAAAACTTTGCTATCTTAACCCGTCCACATTCTACATATATAAACCGGACTAGTTTCGACTTTGACAAAGCAAAGAATTTATCAACAAAGACTACCCTTCCCTCTGCTATCCGGTCTGCTTGTCGCGAGGTATTGTAGCTTCGTGCCTTCGTGTCTGTTCGTGCCGATTCTAAAGGAAGGCATACGTAATTGTTAGGACTGTACACAATTCCCGATCATCCGAAAGATGGTCTATTTCAAGTAGACTTTCTAAAATTTTTTCCTTTAACCGTAAGAAATCCGAAGAGGATAGAAATTCAACGGTCGTTCGTAACGAATCGTCGAATCCAAAAAATCAAAAGGGAGGATATGGAACTGAATTGGTTAAATTCGAGCCTCCCGAGGAAAACAAAGAAAAGCCTGGAAAACGTTCAATGAAAACCGATGTCGAATTGTCAATCGGGACTTCGTCGATTTTTGATTTCGAGGCTTTTGAGGAAAGTCAGAAAAGAAAGGATGGAAAGAACCTTGTTGAATATTCCGAAGAAAAGGAAGGAAAGTCCTTGAAACCCACCGAGGCAAAGAAAAAACAATACGAGGTAATTAACTAGAGCTACAATGGGTAATAATATATTTTTAAGACTACTGACAATTGTCTTTTTTAATCTAGCACAGATATTCGACAATGGACTTTCGTATTTCTCCTCGAAAACTTAGGCTGATAGCAAATCAGATTGCCGGAAAATCTATCAATGAAGCTATAGAACAAATGGAGTTCTCGCGTAAGAGAGCTTCGAAAAAAATAATGAATTCCCTGATCACTGCTAGAGATCATGCGTGGAGGTATAAAATGATGAGTCCCGAAGAAGTATATGTTGGTGAGTGCACCAGCAAACTTTTTTTTTTTTTTTCTTTGGTAGATTAATTCACAAGCGTTTTCCATCCTTGAATTTAGAACAAGCATTTGTCGGCAAGGGGTTATATAAGAAGAGACCGAGTTTTAGAGCTCGAGGTAGATTTAGCATTTTGAAGATCAAGAGGGCGCACATGAAATACATCCTTAGAGTAAGAAAACCGGAAAAGGATCAAGGAATAGCTACAAAACGTCAGGTGAATGCCGATAAATACAAACCAAAGAAAAATCCGTGGGTTCCACTTGTCGAAAATAAACCGATCTATAATCCGCCGAGATTCTACAATTGGTAATCCAGTGGTGTTCCCAAGTGTTTCTTTCGGATTAATCCTCAAGAACTATATGCAAATTATAAATTCACCGTATATTGCAATTTATATTACGACAATTTTACTCGTCAATTGGTGTAATATAGAAAATCTTGGTTCAACTTTTCCCTTGTAAACGCGATGCTCAAGCTCGGTCCAGAGCACACAGAATTCTTAAAATTACCCCAACATGTGAATACTTTCTCCAATGCTCCCTTCCATTAAATATGATCCAGAAGGGGTGCACTCAAGGAGGTCTTGTGTTATAGGGCGATTGATCGGTGACATTATATAATACATTAAACTTATCACGTGAAAAACTTACGCGTCAATAATTATTCAGGATTGTTGCACAAGGTCATATAAGTATACGAAGATCCTACTGTAAACAGTAAGCTGACAATTTTCGACGCGTCAAGTGCGAAAATCACCATGAAACAGATAGAGAACGACTCGCCTAATAGACGATCGCCGAGGATTGCCGCCAAGAGAAACTCTTTAGTATGAAAATTTATTTTACAAGCTTAAGCGATGAATAATATTCGACACTTAGTTACACCTCCAAATCTGCAAACCAGGCCCTCCAACCTGCCAGAAGTTGTTTAAGGAAGAATGACGATACGACAACTAACTTTGACCTCTTACAAGAAGATAATACAAATCTTTTGGGAATTGCCTGTGATAGCACGGCAACTTTTACGCTGCGCAACTTCGACGATACAGGAACACTCGAGTAAATTTCCTATTGATCCAGTGTACGTTACAAATTCTACCTACGAGACATTGAATCATTCCTTTTCTCTATCCAGTGAGAATGGGCGGCGCAGAAAATCGTTAGGAAGAAGAGTTAGTTTTGCGGCAACGGCTCATGTCCGGTAAGATTTCCTGCTTTTCTTAAAATTTTAAAAAAATGAAGTCGTGACGCGGTAATTCTCAATTTCAGATTATTTGACAAAGATGAGGCTGCCGATGATGCACCCGCTACATCAAAAAAATCAGAACCTCAAAATGAGAAACCTACAACAGAATTTATGTTGGCGCTTCCGGCCACGCCTTCACCAAACAATAGTTTAATATCGAATAATGATCCTCTCAAGTGTGCATATGTCCCTTTTTCCTGGTTAAATTTGAAGATTAAATCAATATTTTGATTGAAGTTATCTATCATCTCTGACAGGAACCGTACTGAAGAGAATGGTGCATCACAAGCCGAAGACCCCAAAACCGGGGTGGATTATGCGCCAGCTCAAGATCAACAGAAAGTGGAATCGGACAAAGGAGTAAACATCCAAGATGAAGAAGTTGATATGACGCTTGCTTCGCTCGCGGATCGAGATACAAGTGTTATTCCTAAAGAACCGTTATTAGATCATGAAAATAAATATGCACCAGTTGTAAGCCAGGTCACAACAAACGCGGACGAGCAAGACATGTGCACTGTTGAAGATATGTCCATTGATGAATTAGATATGTCATTGGTTGATGTAACTTCTAAAGATCAAAGAAGCGGTCTGCTGGATTCTCCCGTGCCCATGTTACTTGAGACTAATGAAGTATTTATTGAGCATGCGACAGACATGGAGAAAGATATGTTGATAGACCAAGACCAAATGCATGATTTGCCAGCCACTGAAATTTTCGACATGTCAATTGTTAGATCTGAAAATGGTCGTGATTCGTCGATGAGAGTATCAATTGGGGAAAAAAATATTACTGAAAAACAATTTTTGGAATTTACTGACATGTCACTGGTTGAAGAAACTCAGATGGTTCTCGACGAGGATGTAGAGATGTCGATAGATGAGGAGGATACGTGCATGTCGCTGAGTCATCAATCCAATTCGACCGAACGAAAATCACCCGAAAAACAAACGGCCGAAGTTGTCGATGTTACTTCCGAAGAACTGCGATTTATGAATGAAGCTATTGATGAACAAAACGCTCAGATACAAATCTTTGAAAATGAGTTTGAAAATCTTAAAAATGATTTGCACAATCTCCGAAACCGTCGCACGAAATTAAAGAACGAAAAGCTCGAATTGATTCAAGCAAGTAAATTTACAACACCATATGGTTGATAGTTACTGGTCGTGATGTTATTTAATTTCTTGTTTTACAATTCAGGGGATCGAAGAAGCAAAACGCCTTATTCAGGACAATAAATGTTTCACCGAAAATGATCTTAAGAGATATCAGGGTCAGTTTGAATGGATTTCGTAAGGAGATCGATCCTTTGCTTTAAATATTCTAATAATTATAAATCTTATTATAATCTCAGAACAATACGAAAATCTCCAGGCCACTAATAAATGGCGGCCACAGAAATTGTCTGGCGATCTTATTCACATGATTTACGATAATATCCTGCAAGTTATGATCGATCTGAGATCCGTCCGTAATCAAAGCAAAGAAAACACAAACAAAATCGTCAATCTGTGTTTGGCTTTGAACGATGATATGAAAAGAGAAGACAAACTATATGTGAGCTTTTCCTTTAATACATAAAAATTTTTACTTGATAAAATCACCTCTTAAACTTTTATTTATAACGTTATTTTCACCTTCATTTATTGGCACTATTGATAAAGTATGAATTAATGTTGAGCAGTCTGCTTGAAAACGAAAACATAGTTCAATGCCCATTACAAATTTTTAAGGTAATAATCCAAGAATCCAAACCATAATTTATTAGTACCTCGGATTTTGATTGTTAATTCCTCATTTACTTGACATGCAAAGATACAAAAAATGTTTGGATACATTACCACATATTGGCAGAAGGTTAAACAGTTTTACGAAGAAATATATACTACACGGTTTAAATTTCCGATAGAAATCATTGCCGAAGATAGTACACGCGCTATGCGGATATGTTTAAGAATACTTTTTTTCAATTCTGGAGTGCGTTCGAAGTTCTTCGTGAATTTTTTTTTGCGACCGGAAGACATAATGTCATATCCGAATTTAGAAAAAAGTTTGGAGTGGCATGTGAAACCATCTTATGGAAACATAAGGTAATTGTTTCAGTAATGTTCTAGTTTCTCATAAACCACATAACTGCATTAATTTTATTATGATGGTGTCACTAGCGAGAATGCAATATCGGATGCGATCAAGACTCATCTTTCACGCGGTGAAATTGGATGTATCAAATCAGCCTGTGTCGAGATCAACCAGAAAGGATTCATTATATAAAATTAAGCGAACTTTGCATATACATGATGCAACGTGTCTCACTGTAGTTACTTAAAACGTTTACCGGGAATTTGACGGCTTCGTGTTTAATTAATACAAATACATATTAGAATTCATGGTAGGAATGCCCGTTAAAGTCGATTCACTCACTATTCACAAAATAAATATAATTTACGCATGTAATTTAAAAACTTGGGATTTATTTTTATGCATAGTTTTAAGATGTTTAAAAGTATTTACAGTATAAATCAATCAAATTTTGAATTTTTAATTATTGATTCATTATAATTACGATTTCAAAAGAAGTATTTATCGAAAAAAATTCATATTTAAAATTGATATAATGAAATTAAAATATTAAGCACAGAAACTCGTATAACAGAACATGATAAGTTACGTTCTACTCGGTATAATGGATTATCGTGTTATGATATAAAATTACTGACAATTTTATTGATTAAATTAACCTTTTTTCTTTTATAATAAAATATACATATACATCAAGGTTTTCATCAACTCTTTCCGCTGATCCTCTGATCACACACAAAAAAGGTGTTCGCAAGAAGTTTTAATACTTCTGTGCTAATAAAGTCTTACCACTTTCTTTAAACCAACTCAAAGAGTTCCTTCAAAACTTTCTCACTTTTCTTCCTCTCTTGTTTGCAATCACCTTTGAACAAACTGGACTCTCATGACTCACAAAGTTTAGCTCTTACCTTTACTACCTATGGCAGGAAAGTTTCTAAAGAAAAAAGGAACAACGCTGAAGTACCTCTTGCCTTTCAGTTATGGTGGAGATAACAAAGGCCCTTAACCGATCAAAGGACTTATTTTTCTCTCCTTTGACCTGCGTGCTAACCTTTTAGAGCTATCTTTTTCATGGTTTTTTGGGAAATTTTGCCTACCTCAGCTTGATCCTAAAATTTTGGATAGCACGGATTTCGCCAACTCTGATTGGCTGATGCGAAACACGTTGGACAAGATTGATAAACAAGTTCCTATTGGTCACCTCATGTGTTTGAATGTATTTTCTCAGCTCCATAAGAACCTGGGATTTATCATAAGTCATATGTTCCTGGTGCAAGTGGATACAGGATATGCTCTCTCTCATATCAATAGAAATTTAAACGAAAGAGTCCATCCAATCATAGTAAAGGTTACAAGCACTCCAATCGTTTTTGGCATTGGAGTTACCTACCCTTGGCAGCCAAGTAGGTTTGCGTAGCTCAGGCAGATAGGTGAAGATCTACATTTTTCAAAAAAAAAAATAAACAAGGTGGACAGGAACTTTTTCCCCGGTCAGCAGGTTTTTTACTCCGGATCCATGGTTTGTGGGAGGACCACAAACTGAAGAACAATACCAAGAATTCCAACATGACTCCCCCTCTAGCACGGCCTTCTATGGTCGTTAGTAGTACCCACCAATCTTACTTCTAGTGAGAATATTCGAATGGAAATGTTTGCCAGATTGGTAGACCCCCTAAAGACTTAGCTTGATTTTGAAATATTTGTGCCTTCTTAAATAAGTAGCATATGCTTGAAGCTGGTACTATTTTTAGGACTAGGTCGACAACCCCTCCATAGGTTTCAAGGTACCCCCCTAGCCATAGGTCCCGTCCGATTCTTCAAATGAGTAATCCCCTAAGCAGAACATTGAGTTCTGAAACCATTCCCTGCCCCTTCAAGAAAGATAACCCCTCTCTCTCTCCCTTTCGAAGATTTAGATACTGCACTCTGGCAGATAATCCGTAGATGTTGGTCCTTTTCATGGTGAAAGTTTCAGTGGATGATTGGTAGAAGGAAAATTTTTAGGTCATCGTCCGGCAGCCCTTTTTTTTAATTATATTTCCTTGGTAACAACTATAAGGAATATAGTCACTAGCTCGACCCAGGTAAGCTAGTTCCCTATGTATGGGAGGCAACAGACCATGGAGGTCCTCATAGGAAATCCGAATCAGGAGGAATCTTTGCATACAAATTTTTAACATATATGCTAATATCATTACTAATTTGTAGTTAGTTCTAAAGTAGATAATACATATGTAATATCGAGTTTAAAGTTAATAAAAAGCCAACCGAAGGTTGAGCTGGATTTAAAAAAAAAAAAAAAAAAAAATTAAAATATACATATATTTTAATTCATTTTTTAAAAAAAAAATTGTAAACACTAGTTGAAAAAAAATTATTTGACATACTGCCATTTATATAACATTTGACAAAAAAAATAAATCAATTTGACAAAATAATAAATTAATTTGACAAAAAAATGACAAATAAATCTGCAACTATATAATTTAATTATAATATTATAAAAATCAGCATATTAACATTTCATTAAAAAATTCATTAACAATTCATCAAATAATTCATTAACTATTCATTAAAAGTTTATCACAAGATTATTTATTAATAATTCAATAAAAATTCAACATTAAGTTATTAATAATTCATTAAAAATTTATCAACTATTCATTAAAAATTTGACAACTATTTATTAAAACTATTTATTAAAAATTTATCAACTATTCATTAAAAATTCATTAACTATTTATTAAAATTCATTATTAAAAGTTCATTAACTATTTATCAAAAATTTGACAACTATTCATCACAATAAAGTAAAAAAATCAATAAACTTATGCATGATTTTTTTTTTTTTTTTTTTTTACCCACTGTCAGGTTAGTTATGTGTGTTTTATTAAATATAATGTAGGCTATACTATTACAGTGTCGCTAAAACTAAAACGCTAACTAACTCACTCGTCTTAATTTATTGTTAAACTCTAAGTACAACTTTGGGAGTGATTTGTCGCTCCATTTATAGTTTGGGTAAATACCCTTCTACTATAAACATCATTGCCTGCAGTCACTACTGTAGATCACTGGCCAAAGTTCTGACCAAGCCTAAAACCCAACAATTTCATCCCACTTTTAACCCTCATCATTATCATTCTTGTTAAAGCTTTTCCCAGACATTCTTCTTCTGTTTTCCTTCTTTATTCTCTTGGCTTTCTTGTTTTTCTTGTTGAATAAGACTTTATGGGCTGTCTTAGTTTCTCTTTTCAGAAAATTTCTTGAGCTCTTTTCTATTCTATTACTAGTTCACATCATTTATTCCATACTTTTTTCCTGAAGTAATTCAAAGTCTTCTTTTGGCAACAGAGTATCCATTTTGTAGCAACTGTTCCTATCTTTTTTCCTCCACATTTAAGTTCTCTGACTTTACTTAATAAATCCCTTTTGATCAATCCTGAAAGAAAACTGACTGAGTCTTGACTATTAGTGGATACTTTTTCAATAAATTTTGTTGCTCATGCTTTTATTTCTTTCATTTCTTTTTTATCTACTGTCAGGATATTACTATATTCTTTTTGAGCTTGATCTTTTTTCTTCTGTCTCTCTTTCTTAAATTCTTGATATATTATTTCTACTCCTCTAGATCAGTTTCCTTCATTTTATTTTTATATCTTAGGCATTCCAAAAGATGATCTATTGTTTCCTCCTGTTCACCACATGCTAAACAGTCATTCTTATGATATAAGTCTGATTTCCTAATTGTTAGTTTTGCCATTGTTGGTAGTTCATTGTTGATTAACTTTACCAGAAAACTTTTTCACTGTGAGCTTTTAAAGGAGGTGTCCCATGCGTGTTCTTTTTTTAGTCTTTCCCATACCATGTCCCATAAATAGTTTTGCTGATCTTCTATTTGAAGGTTTCATTTGATCAGTAGTATATTATTATTTTATTATTTGTTCTTTTTATTAATTGTCTTATAGGATTATCCAGTGTTATATCCTGCCATTTCATTTCTATAATAATCTTATCTAATTTAAGGCCCTTTCACTAGATTACTGGGAGGTTTAGTGCTTCTTTAGTCAGCTTA